AGAGAGACCTGTTTCTCAAATTCAAAACTACATTTTTATGTATTTTTTTTTTCAAAAATGGTCCAATTTCTATGTTTAAACGTGTTTAATATGTTCCATTGTGCATAAGATCTGGATTTACAAGGTTTGAAAATCACTGGATTATGTTTTTATTCACATTATTTTTACAACATCCCAGATATTTCAGAATTGAGTTTAGGGTGTGACARCATTAAGACTTACCACAAAGCTGGCATCTTCAGGGGTTTGTTGAGCCAGGGAAGTGACGGGCTCAGCTTTGCACGCAGGAACGTTGGGCACAGCCGCTGTGGTCAGTGTGGCCAGTGTGGCGTTAGATGTGGGAGACGTCAACACACCGACCGGCTCTACGGGGGTCTGGACTTGAACTATTTGGACACTGGACAGCATCGGCATGATGCCATCTGCCATCTGGAAAACTGTGTCCAAGTTGATGTCAGGTTTTTCGTCTTCCTGGTTTTCCATTCCCTGCAMATGTTGATCAGGGTCATAAATACTGACAAGATGTTCTGATTTAAACAATTTAATAAGTAAAACATGGTATATAAATTTTTTTAAACTATTTTAAAATTAGATCTGTAGTCCAACTACCTGAGCAGAGAAGAACCCAGTCTGCAGTGTCGGTATGTTGGGCTGGACAAGTCCCAAAGAGAGCCACGGACGAACTTTAAAACAGAAAAAAAAAAGTTTTAAAACAATCTTGTGTGAGTTTCAGTTTAAAAGTTACAATCAATTAATATCTTACAATTGTAGGTCATTAAGATCAAAGTGTATTGCTGCTGTCTTAACCCTCTGGTCAAAATGACCTCTGACATCTTGCAGAAGGGTTAAAACAACTCTAATCTAAAAAGACAAACAAACAAAAAAATTCATAGCAGTTCATGCCCCCCCTGTAAATTTTGCATTATTTAATGATTTACATAAACTTTTACTGTTATTTAGAAATGCAAATAGCAACACGAAGTACTTCAGAAACACCCAGGGGTCACGTCCAATAAGAATATTTCAATATTTCTTCTTTACGGAAAACTGACAGCTGTAAAAGTTTTATAAAATTTAAAGAGTTGCTTTAAAATGGGAATATTTACATTGGAAGTGAGTTYATCCAGACTCATTTCTGTCCACTTCAAAAGAACCAGTGGAGGCAGATAGCTGCCCTTCCTGAACCTGGTTACTAATAATATCTAAGAAAGCAKATTTGAGTGTCCTAAAAARCACTATATAAGTCTGATTTATTATTATTATTATTATTATTATTATTATTATTATTATTATTATTATTATTATTATTATTATTATAATTATTATTATTTAAAACATGCAGCATTATGGATCCTTGAGGTCCAAGACTTACTTGACACCACTGGACTAGAAAATAATTAAACTACAGCCAAGATGTCAATGCTTCAGAATGTCTGAATTGGTCCTTAGATGTCCCTCCACCCAAGCCTTACCTGAGAGATACCAGGGAGGCGGAGCCTGGGCGTTCTGAAGGTTAAACCTGATCAAAGCTTGGTTCCCTCCATTTGCTTGGCTTGAGGATCCCTGCTGAACTCCTCCAGAGCACTGGTTTCTCAGAAACACAGGTCCACATTGGACTGGAACAAAGACAGGTATGCCTGTGGGACGCATCACCTGGAATCGTGGTGGGACCGGGGTACAGCTCTGAGGCTTAGGGGCTTGGCTTTGATCAGGGKAGTAAGGTGTCGGAGGTGAAAGCTGTCGTGCGAGCTGCAGCGATGAACTTTCTGCAACACAAACGACAAGTGCTGGAAGTCTGGTACGACAGGCTGTCACAGCTGAAATATATATTTATATTCTTTTAAAAATCACTTACTTATCTCCGGACCTGTACTTTGGTCCACGTCACTCCTTGGGCGCTTTCTCATAAACCGACACTTGACTTTGAGACCGGCTCTCAGCTTGGCTTTATTCTCGACCGTGAGCCTTAGCAGGTTCGCCACAAGCTGGGGGTGGTTTCTCTTGAAGTCTGGGTGGTGAAAACACTTGTAGAGCCTGCCGTCCTTCAAGCCCTGGTGGTTAAACAGCCTTGCCATCTTGAAGCCGTACAGGTTGAGCTGCCGCACAAAGCTGGAGTATTTGGTGATCTTAAAGCCGTCGTTTCTGTTGATTCTGGGGGACAGAACCTGAATCTGGAAGAGCTGCTCGTTGATGACGATCTGGTCACCGTGGGTGTTCCAATTGATGGCTCCAATCTCCGGAYTATTCACCAAACGCCAGAGTTTGGCTGGAAAAAAATCGGTTCTTATGGCCTCTTCCTCCATGTTCTTTTTCTTCCTGAATTGGAAACAGAAGGCTTTGACAATGCATGCTAAGCTAACTCCAATATTACAATGGCTTTTATTAAATTTGATTTAAAGYGCTCAAGAAAACCCTACATCTAAATTTTATTATCAAGCTAAAGGTTTTACAACTTCTAAGACAATTAGTATTCCGGTGCCATTTGGTAATAAACATTTTAGCAAATTYTGAGACATTGTTGAARTCAGATTTTYAATAKGTTGTTTTTGTTTWGAATTATTATTTGGTTTATGTTAGGYTTATGAGATGACGACAAACGCCTTGGCTGTATCTCAGTTATCAGAT